AATGACACCCCCCTCTGTGCCTTGCTTTCCCCATCTGCAAGATGGGGATAATGATAATCTCCTTTGGAAGGAGCTTTGAAATCTACTGATGAAAAGCACTGTATTATTATTTCATTTATGTCTGGAGCTGGAGGGCAGAAATGCCATGTACCCCTGACTGAGGCTGTAGGTGTGCAAGGGGAGCTTCAGATTGCTCACAAGTTGAAAGTGTTCTGTGCCCCTCAGAGCTAGTAAAAAACGAAAAACAAACAAACAAACAGAAGAAACTGAGTCCTGTTAGTGGAGATTAGCAAGGAAAGGCAGTGTGCTAGCACTGCTCAACCAAGTGGCCATATAGGCCCTTGTTCAACAAACTATCCGCTGATGTTCATTATCATCTCATTATCACTCGATTCCTTAAATGCCTTTTGGGGTAAGGCTGTTGAGAAGAGAATGTAACTCCATGAACTTCAGGGCAGTTACTCCTTATTTACACTAATATGACCAAGAAAAGAGAATCGGACTCTTGATGTTCTCAGCTGTCCTTGATAACCACCAGTCAGGCTTCAGGCATGGGCAGAGCAGAGAAACAGCAGAGGGTCTCATTGGCTATCTCATTGGTTCCCCTATTAATGGAAACACGTCAGTTCACTGGTTCTAGCAGCATCCTTTGTTGCTATCATCCTCCAGGTTTTATTAACCTGGCTGTGGACCCTAGCTGGGCTGGACTTGAAGTTCACCAGAGACTGGGCTCCCTGCATACTGCAGGCGTCCAGGGCTACACACTGGTGATACAGTGGTGTGTATAAGCTGGGCTAGCTGTGTCAATGTCAACAATGTCCACTCTTCCCCTGTCACTGCAGTTTAGGTAATTATTATTCCATCTGAGGGCTCTCTCTTGTTGGAGGGATGTGTGTGTGGCGGAGGGGAGGGGAGGTGAGAGACACTGCAAGTTTCTATTCTGTCACCCTTGCTGCTCAATATGTCCGTGAGGCTGCTGGGGAACACGGCGATGTGGTCCGGACTGCAGAACCACCATTATGATTTAATGACTCGATCTCGGTTTCTTTGGACACGGACAGGGCCCAGTGTTTGCATTCCAGGTGCGCGGCTCAGATGAGGTAAGTACCTGTGCTTATATGACAGCAAACTGTCTGAGGCTCAACCTAGGTACATTGGAAATAATCCTGGTTGGTTTCAGGAAGCCACTGAGTATATGGTCATCATTCCTGCGTGGGTTTGTCAACTTAACCCCCACAGAGGTTCACAATATAGGGTGCATCTAGATCCCAGAGGCCTAAAACACTTTTTTTATCTGTGCCTGAGGGGAGCAAAACGGGGTGGTGATAACCATTTGTCTTGATTTAGGAGCTTGATTTAGAAGCTCCTTGCTCTGATGGCCTAACAGACTGGATTATTGGCCACATGATTGCTCAAGGAGACTGATCATAAGTAAGGCTACGATTTAATCATGGGTATTTTCAGTAAAAGTCATGGACAGGTCATGGGTAATACACAAAAATTCACGGTCCATGACTTTTACTGAAAATAGCTATGATTAAATTGCAGCTGGGGGCCAAGGAGGGTGCTGCTCTGGGGGAAGGGGGGCACTGCCCTGGGGGGGCCAGTGAGGCCAGCCAGCGGCACCGGCCACCCCAGGGGCCACCCACCTGCCACTGCTCCCGCCACCCCAGGACCAGTGCTCGGGTGGTCTCGGGAAACCCTGGGGTCAGCCACACCCGCCACTGCAGAAGCCATGATTTCTGCGACATCCATGACAGACACGGAGCCCTAATCATAAGAAACACCAGTACCCTGTAGGTTGCACTGGCTTCCAGGTGCAATTTAAGGTGTGGACATTGAACTTTGAAGCCCTATATTGTTTGGGTCCTAGCTACATGAGAAACACTTCTCTCCCCATGCACCACCATTGCAGTCGGTTTAAAGTGCTCACACTACAGGTATGACTTTACTGCACAGTGAACTCTTCGTACGGTGACCAGACAAGTGTGAAAAATTGGGACGGGGGTGAGGGGTAATAGGAGCCTATGTAAGAAAAAGACCCCAAAAATCAGAACTGTCCCTATCAAATCGGGACATCTGGTCACCCTAACTCTTCACAAGTTAGCTTAGCTCTGCGAAAGCAGCCATGCTGCAAAATAACACAAGCTGCACGCAGTGGCCGAGTTAGCAGCTGAGGGTGTTAGGCTAACACCAGCTACACCGATACTGACTTGGACTCTTAATACATTCCATGGGAGGCGTACCCGAGCCCACTTATCCACTGACGCTCTAAAAACTCCCACACCCCAATTGGGTCTATGCTGGTTATGTGATATGCATGTCTCTCTTCATCCTTCTAACAGATACCTGTAATCCCTCAGAACTCAAGCCGGACCCCAGATGTACAGTACCTTCCCTCTTCACTTGTGTATATTTAATTTTAAACATTAACTTTAATAAAAATTTTAAATCTGTACTTCTTGACGGGCTAGCCAACTTGAGTTAAAAGCATCACCACACTGAGCTAAGCGGTTTTGCATGTGGACAGGGCAACACTTGAGTTATAACTCAAGTTAACTGCAATGAAGACAAGCCCCAAGCATCCCCAGATTTGAAAGCCTGGGTGTTAGTGCCAGGGGTTTTCACAGGGCCTTCACTGGCTCAAAAGAGCTTGAATTTTTCTTAAGCCTGCAGGGCACAGTACAATATCTATCTATCTATATACTTAAGACTTTTGTTTGAGGGCTGGGGAACTTATTTATAGACTTACTAAAGATGGGGTGACTATTTAATATTTGCTGTATGCACCATGCACTATTTTAACTACATACATGAGCCCAAAGACAGTGGCATAGGATCATACTTAAAAACTGAAAATAACTAAAACAAAGATATGCTATCAACAAGCTTGGCTATAAATTAGATAGAATGTTTTTGCCATCTGTGTTTCAGAGAGCATTGTGATGAGGATGGAAGGTTTGTTGTTGACAAAGCACCTTGGAAGACAGTCCAGAGAAGAAGAAAAAAGACATTGCTGACAGAGTAAAACATGCAGGGCCCACAAGGCACAGATGACTTGAAGTGCTAGATGCATTTGTTTTCTTTTTCCAGCAGTTCCCTAGAAGGAGCAAATGCCCCTATACAGTGTAAGAGGAGTAGAAATACGCTGAACAAGTGGGAGCCCCTGACTAAATAACACAACAGATCGAGATGACAATATAGCAGATAACTGTGGTAAACACCATTGCAAGAACTTGAATTAAAACTTGTGAACAGATATGTCATTCGTTAATTTCAAGTAGCAAGGGCTTGCTCCAAAACAAAAAAACCACAAGCCTTGCAACACCTGTTTTAATTTAGCATCGACTGGATCCCAAATTCTGTCCTGTACCTGTTTTCAGTGTAAAAGTGTGAAACAGTGTATTCCCGCATATCCAGTTTGTTCTGACTAGCTAGCATTTATCAAGCTAGCATGGCATAGAAATAGATGTTGCAGGTTCTGAAACAGCACAAACAGCGATTCTCCCTCAGTGCTGTACGTGATCATTTATTTTACCTGACGGAGATTTCCCCTCACTCTTCCACAAACTAATGCAATGTTATGTAGGTGATCTCATCGGAACACTCAAACGATCCAACGTATTCACTTGTTTAGAGCACTGCAAGCCCTGAGCGAAAAGGTGCAGATTTCGCTCTCACTTTCTGTCTTCTGTACCCTTTATGTACAGTCACGCTTTAGTGACAGTCTGGGCCTCTCCAAGAATGACAGTGATATCCTTTGGCCAAGGCTGGATAATGCCCAACAATACCCTTTACAAACATAATACCACACCAGAACTTGGGCCCTCCCTCCTCCCCCAAACACATGCCAAACAAAACTGCTATTATTACAGGAAACACGAACTAAATAGCTGCTTTTATGGTCCCAAGAGCATAGGATGTTTCCTTTCAATATATTTTGTTTAACGTTTACAAATGGGCTGATTCAGCAGCACAGAATACAAACAGCAGACACATGGCAGCCCGATTACTCCCTCGGTAACATTTTTCAATCAGGGACACGGTTTAAACACCAGCAAACCACCATCATCATCCCATAACAAACAGCCTCCTCAGATTGTGACACCCCCTGGCTTCACTAACCTGCCTCGCCCCTAAATTAGCAGGCTGCCGTTTGCAACATTTCCCCTGCTTTGACAGTGTCCCACGCTGGGTGTCAGTGACAGCCTACGCATTCATGCACCCAGCTCCAGCGCGCCCAAATGCAGACAGGCCCTGCAGCTTCGGGGCACAGGCAGCACCACAGTGGCACTGCCAGGGGAGGGGCAGCCTTTCCCCATTCCTATCTGGGCCAAGGGGGGGGGGAAATCTCTCCTAGAGGCATGGGAGACAGGAAAGAGGGAGAGAGAAGGGCAGATTAAGGAGAAAAGGAATAAAAGAGGAACAGAGAGAAAGGCAGAAGAGAAGGGGGCAAAGGAAGGAGGGCAGAGAAAGGGCAGAGGTAAAGGGGGCAGAGGGAGAAGGGAAGGGGGCAGAGAGAGAGGGAATAGAAAGGGAGCAGAGAGGTGAACACGGGCAGGGGGCAGAGGGAGAAGAGCGGGGGCAGATAAAGGGGGAATGGAAAGGGGGCAGAGAGGTGAACACGGTCAGGGGGCACAGTGAGGGGGAATGGAAAGGGGGCAGAGGGAGAAGGGCAGGTTGAGAGGAGGAATGGAAAGGGGGCAGAGAGATGAACACAGTAGGGTGACCAGATGTCCCAATTTTATAGGGACAGTCCCGATTTTGGGGTCTTTTTCTTATATAGGCTCCTATTACTCCCCACCCCCGTCCCGATTTTTCACATTTGCTGACTGGTCACCCTAGAACACAGGCAGGGGGCAGAGAGAGGGGGAATGGGGCAGGGAGAGAGAGAGAGAGAGA